TTTTGAAAAAAAAAAAAAAAAAAAAACTATATATATATATATATATATAAACCATTTTTGCCCATTCACCCTGGAAGCCGATTGCCTACAATGTGCCACTTTGATGTCTCTTGTATCACTTCACACTCTCTTTTGATATCTCGTGTGATAAAACGGCTCAAATCAATATGTAATGTCCATTCATTTACTTTTGATATTTAGTAAGTACATTTGTTATAAACAGGATTATTCGCACTCATTCAGCCATTACTACAAAATAAACTCCTTCTGGTGATACAAAATGCTTCAGCTTCACATAGGGGGCAATTTGACATTGCTTTTCTCAGTATCTCTCCACTCATCTGTTTGGAAATTTTCAGTAGTCTAATGCACCGCTGTGAGCCTGCCGCTATGTTCTCTACACGGTCTTTGTTCCCAGCTAAGCGTTATACATATTTGAGTGCTAATATGAGCTTCTCTCATACAGAGCGTCATAAAGGAGAATAAGGTCTGAATGACCATCAGCGCTCTCTAGTACCTGAACCTTGAGTTCAGAGTGATGCCATTAGTGGAAGTGCTTCTGTCTGACAGATGGTTTCAAATGAGATGAACGCTGTCAATTGTACAGAGGAACATCACTAAGCAGTCAGTCAATTAATCTATAGCAATGTTTCTATTAACAGCATTTAGATTTTCACAAGCCTGGGCTGCCTAAATATAGATTCTAACTAGATTAAAAAAGGCCTGGGATCCTAAGATAGCACCCAACCCTTGTTAGTGGTGTTAGATAACATAAGCATCACTATTACTATTGAGTTACAGCAAACTTAGTGTTGAACTGTGGCACGTAATGTTTGTTCTGCATGTGTGAACAATATCTCAAATCATGTGTACAATTACTTTTCTAAACAATCTGACCAGCAGTTTTCACCTTGTTGATGATACAATGGTTAAGAATCACTAAAACGTAAGTATATTTCACTTTTGATGCGAACGTAGAACATAGATGCGAACATAGAACATTGTGCCTACATAGGAATGTGTAGCCTTTCAAAATATACTTAATATATAGCAAGCACTAACACAGGTGCACACTAGAAAGTTTCATCATTGTCTGGTGTCTGTTTCTCTCTAGAAGTTATGAGCAATTAAAAAATGTCTTTATACAAGTCATTTAACTCGGTGGCCATCTTTGAAATGCCTCTCGGGCATACAAGTGCAGCTCTTATCTCTTTGAATGTCACCAATGAAATATGACAACAACTGTCTCATAAATGTTGTTTATTTTGCTCAAATAGCGTTAAAAAAGCGTATTATTCAGTCTAGACCAGCCAGTGCTTATGCGCAGTCCTAAGCGTGCAACTCAGAACGCTGACTGTTTCTATAGCAAACGGGACTTCTAACGGCAGCTGAAGTGATGCAATAATTTTACATATTAGCAATTGGCTCTTTTACTCAGAAAGCGAGGCTTCCTTCAATGGAGCGGCCATATTGAGCGTTGTATTTTTCCCCATTTAAAACTATACGAGTGACACATCTTGGGTATTCTAGTCTTTGTTTAAAATAAATATGTTGTGGTCAAAAGTAGTTTATTGTTGTTCCATCTTTTTTGTTTCTTTATCGACTGTGAAACAACAGTCTGGGCCATTGTTGCCACATTGTGGATAAACTAATTAGTGCAAAAAAAGTTAAGGCACATGTACAAGCTGAGCAAATATAGAAAAATATGTCTGGGTGTGTACAGTTTATGCACATACTATTAGAGGTCGACCGATATGGGTTTTTCACTGGCCGATGCCGATATTTAGAAACCAGGGCAGCCGATGGCCGATATATGATGCCGATATGTTTGGCCGATTTTCTTTTTTTCCCATTCATCTCATAAAAGTGAGTTTGAGCAAATGATTATTGCAGGGTACAAGATAGTAATAGTAGTAGTAGCCCAATTTAGTGTAATAATAAATGGCTCAAAGCACCTTCTCAAAACAGTTCTGAAGGGTGCTTTTTGTTTATGTTTGCTGACAGACACCAGTGTTTCCCACAGACTGCAAATTAATTCTCTGCCAGCAGGAGGCGCTTTGGGAGCTGGAGATATAGCGGTTTCCCCGGTAACGGCTGATCTGTAATCAAATCAGCGCTGCACTCACAAACGCTACTTTATCAGGCATTACAGGAAATACGAAATTAAAATTACATCGAAGCTTTTCTGAAGACAGTCGGTTCTTTTCAAATATACATTCATATAAAAACGCGCTGCATTTTAATTTTGAAACGTGAAGCGCTTATTTTATTCAACTAAGTATAAGCCTTTTGGAAAATCTATTTGTGGCCGTCAGTTTTGATACTGTGACGAGCCGCCACAAATAACTCAATGTATAGGAAACACTGGACACTGCTATAAGTCATATGGCCATAGTGATAACAAAAATAAAAGATTTCACACATATTACACAGCCTGCTGCTGATAACTGCTTAAGAGTGCGCTGGCCACAAGCGATGACATCGTGGATGCCATTGTCGGACCCACACACACATTTCACGAGGAAAGTTAACATGCATGTTATAATCAGCCCAGAAGTTTCGTCTGAACTGCACGTGTTTCTACTTTCACAAGCAAATGACTTGTTGCACTTATGAATATGATAACTTTCCAGCATCAATTCTAGTAGGGTAAAACGTAATCCCGCTTTCGAAACGGTCTGTTTTGCCCTGCCATCATTAGCTGAAGCTGTGTGAACAAGCCGCGGCTGCAGAGCGTGAGCTGCCCGTCTCACGCAGCCAGAGGGAGTTCTGCAACAACGCTTAGCTGCCCGCCAGTGCGCCTGCTAGGGATGGGCGATACCCCTTATTTTGTTTTCGATACGATACCGATATTTTTCAAGGCAGTATCGTCGATATCGATAAAAGAAAACACTGCATTCCAGCATAAGAACCTTATCCCATCTGTGAAACATGGTGGTGGTAGTATCATGGTTTGGGCCCGTTTTGCTGCATCTGGGCCAGGACAGCTTGCCATCATTGATGGAACAATGAATTTTGAATTATACCAGCAAATTCTAAAGGAAAATGTCAAGACAAGTCTCAAGAGAAAGTTAATTAAAAGTTAAAGTTAATAAGTGAAGTGAAGTGTGGCCAGGTATGGTGACCCATACTCGGAATTTGTGCTCTGCATTTAACCCATCCAAGTGCACTCACACAGTAGTGAACACATTTCTGAGGCGCCCGGGGAGCAGTTTGGGGTTCAGTGCCTTGCTCAAGGGTCTCACCTCAGTCGTGGTATTGAAGGTGGAAGAGAGCGCAGGTTATTCACTCCCCCCACCGACAATTCCTGTCGGACCTGAGACTCGAACCCGCAACCTTCAGGTTACAAGTCCAACTCTCTAACCATTAGGCCACGACTGCCCCACATTCATGCAGCAAGACAACAAACCAAGCACACAAGTCGTTCTACCAAAGAATGGTTAAAGAAAAACAAAGTTCTTCTTTTGGAATGGCCAAATCAAATTCCAGACCTTAATAGAAAATTGTAAAGGGTTCACAATCTTTCAAGCAGCACTTGATGTTTTATGATGTGTGGCAGGAAGAGCAAATGACAGACACAGTGGGTGTGGTGTCAGGCCTCGGAGAGGCTTTTACATAACAGAAATAAAACATAAAATGTCCAAACCAGGGAATAAAGAATCCAAAGGGAAGGAGTGTCCAAAATAAATAGGGGATCTGGTGTCCTCGTTGTGCTGGAGAATCATGAAAGAAGGGCAGTGTTCAGATAGGAGGGGCCCAGGTAAGGGGCGGGGTCCGGCGGCTGAACACGCTTCTGTCTCTCTGGGCCGGGGCATGAGGGGCGGCGGCTTCATCCCAGCGGCTCTTCTTCCCTGGCCCACAGCACTCAAGGGGAATAGTGGCCCGGCATCCTGGCCCATCAGCGGCATCATACGTGCTCTGCAAT